AAAAAAGCGCTAATGACTGTCAGCCAACGTTGATGGGTGAGAATAGATGTGATCTTCTGCCCTTATTACTTTGAGCCATTGCTGGTTCTGTGCACATGCAGACACACAAATGTACACAGACACAGACACACACACATGTTTCTAGGTTGACATGTGACTTGAACTGACCAAATCCCTTTATATCTCATCCAAGAGCTTATCTTTATGGCAAATACATTTCATTTGTTCATTTCTATACACACAACATTCATGCATGATGCGGCAAGTCTTCTTGCCTCGTCAGGTCGAATATGCTTGCAAGAATGATAGCCTCTCTGCTGCGGCAAGGCCAGTCATTCGAGGCAGGAAAGTTGAGCACGCTTTCAACGGAATCGAAACCGGTTGCTTTGGCAACAGCGCAAACAAGGATGCCATTCGACAGCGGGTCAAGAGGAATCCGCGGGTACGATCCTTCTTTGAATCTCTTCATCAAACACTTTCACTTTTGTGCTCAGCTTACCTCTTCCGGATGATGGAGTGACAGGTCGTGCCCACATTCATGTTTTGTGTATGAGCGTCAAACCAGGTCCAGATTAATGGCGCAAATGTACGCGAAAAAAAGGAAAGAAATGAATGACTTGCTTTTCGAACATCAAAGTTGACGAGACGCTTCATTCTGCCTTTGGCGCGTCGATCCCTTGACGTTGGCGTAAATTTGATTGCTTTTGAAAGGTCGACTGGAAAGGATTCGTAACTCGGCTCCAGCAGATGCTGAAAGAGGATTTCTTCGAAGCTGTGCTTGCTGGATTGTGTCAACAGGCCATGGGCTCACGGTCTTGCAAGTTCAACGTATCTTTGCGTCTATTTCGTCTGTCCCGTCGTGGCGGACATCGTCAGAGCGAGTAGGGCATTATTTCCGAATAACCACGGCAACCGAGATGAGCACAAAACGCCATAGCAACCTGATCTTCAGGTGGGATCATACGAGGACAATTGACGAATTGTTTTCAGCCTTAGTTTGTAAATGGACTAAAAGGCATTTGCCGGCATCATGTTTGTTGGGGCGAGTCTTCTCTTGCCACACAATACACACACACACACACTCTTTAGTGAATGGTGTAGGTGTTTTAACGGACACTTTCTGCTCTTCACGATGATTGTGGCAGTGGGTTCGATCGAGTGTAGATGAGACGAGCTGGGAGTTGGTTTGTACACATGAGCAATGCCAACTGTGCAAGACCAGATGGAAGGAGGCAAGTGGAGAAGGAAGAGAGGCCTGAAGATGTCCTGTCGACGTGAGACGAGTCAAGTGAGTGAGAGAGTGAGTGAAGCGTCGTAGTGGGTGACGGCAGTCCCTTTTCTGCCGTCCGATGCCCAGCGCTCGGATGCGTCTGATTGGCCGGCATGGCTGTGGTTGTCTCTGGCCCTACCAGACTGTACCGGTTGCCATGTCGACCGATGTCTGTGTGTTTGTGTGAATTGCGCCCACTCTGGCCGCACAGGCGATCGAGGCGCGAATCCCACCGGCCGGAGTTCACAGCTCGAGGCGTCCGGAGCACTGGCCGGCGCCGCCAAGGGCGCCCTGGGGCCTCCGAAGGCGACTGGCTGCGACTGGCTCGAGCGCCGCCTGTTCGGCCGATTGGCCGAGGCCAACCATCTGCTGGCCGAGGGGGTGGTGCAACTGTTGCAGACCGGACAGCTCTGCCGAGTGGGGTTGGGCGGCGACGGCGAGGTCAGTCTCAGAACGGCCTGCCAACAGCCTCGGCCGTCCGACGCCGACGCCGACGCCGACGCCGACGCCGACGGCAGAGAAGGCGGAGATAAGACGGACGTCGGTGACAAGTCGTCGTTGGACAGAGACAGACGCAGACGAGACGAAGAATTGTTGGCCGCCAGGCGGATGCATCAGTTGGGCGTGTACAGGTACTGGCAAAACACTCCGCCTCACACATTTACTTGCTCTCACTTGCATCGGCTGCCACACTCTGCTCCATTTGCTCTTCTACCTACCTTTCTTCACTCTGTTGATTTCTTTCACTTCCCATCATCAACTGCTTCAGCCACTTTCTACATTCACTCCTCTCTCCCTTTTACCACTACCATCACTCCACTTCATTGGTTTCTTTCATTCACCATAATCCGCTTCAGCCACTTTATCCATTCACTCCTCTCTCACCTTTCTCCACTACCATCACTCGACTCCTTTTCTCCACTCCGATGATTTATTTCACTTCAAATCATCCGCTCCCGCCACTTTCTTCATTCACTCCTCTCTCCCCTTTCTCCACTACCTCACTCCATTTCCTCTCTTCACTCTGTTGATTTCTTTCACTTCCCATCATCAACTGCTTCAGCCACTTTATC